CCCCAAAACCCCAAAACCCCAAAACCCCAGCTGAGTTATAAAATCAGCTTTATATTAAATATAAATGGAGACTGATTCAGCGCAGTAGGTTTTTACTCTAGCTAAATTTTTGATATCTAAACCTCAAAGATTCTTCTGAAAATAATTTTTATGACTCAAACTGAATTGCAGTAGTGGAATTTTATGTTAAATAAGAACTATCGAAAATTTTTGAAAGATCGAATGATCCTTTTATTTCAAAGGAGCAATAAGAGATATTTAAATTCGAATAGATCAAGAAGAGATATGCTCCTGTCCTTGCTTATAATACTAGAAATCTGAGGGATTTGTAATTCTGTATAGATCAAGCCATAGACATGCTTACATAGACTTTAATACAACAGAAGGAATGATGCCACTAGAGCAATCAAGTAGTGACCAAAATTGTGACCCTGAGAGTATTACAGAGGAGGAAATTGCTCTAGTAGATGAGCATGTCCTCAAGAACATTCACCGTCATAAGTATTTATCGGTTACCAAAATATAGATCTAAACGTGCCCAAGTGATTGAAGAGGAGTAAACTTGCCTGCTTAACCTATTTAGCCAATTAGAGCATTTGATTAGAAATAGAAACTCTGAGATTTTTAAAGAAAGCAATAATAAAGTCCAGAAGGAAATCAAACAAAAGATGGCAAACTTACAGAAGCAGATTGAGTCGAAACATAAAAGGCACCAAGAGGTCAATATGAGCAAGCAGAAGGCTGCCCTTGACCTGATCAAGAAAAAGTAAGCTCCTCTTTTGGGCAATATCTGATGCCTTTTATAGAACAGAGATGGAGAAAATGAAGAAACTTCAGAAATTCTCATCAAATATGAGATATACAGATGATCCTGAGTTTGGTGGAAATTATTCAGAATCATATCAGAAATGAGGCCTAAATCTCCCAGGAATTGTCCCAGATAGCGAAAGAAGTGAAGATAACCAAATATTTGAAGAAGAATTTGAAGCTATTACAGAAGATGTGAAGGATCTAAATACTAGCCAAACTGGAAAAGGACAAAGCCAGGAAGAAAATTCACATTCTTCCAACTTAGGTAAAACTGAGCAGAACTCTGAAGGTAAAACTGACAGTAAACCTGGAAAGAAGAAAACAATTGAGGAAGAGAAAGTTCCTCCAAAGAAAAAGGCTAGTGGCTTGAAAATATCTATAAATGACCCAATAATAGAAAAGAGAACGGAGAAAATCACGCAGGAAGTAAGAAGAGAGTCTGAACTTCCTGTATTACCCCCTGTAAGTCCGAACACAAATAATCAGATAAAAGCGAGGTTGATACAAACTGCTGATAATATTCGTATGCCAAAGATTGACAAAAAGCCTAATCAAGACCTTTCTCATGCTAAGCCTCCTAAAAATGTTTTAACGCCAAAAGGAAATAATTTTGCTAGAAAGAGACCTTATGAAGATGCTATGAGTGTGAAAAAGACAGGAATTATGTACCGGACTATCAATAATGTTCCAAGTTCTCCAGGCCCTCATAATGTAAGTCAACTGATAAGACAGAGTAATCGTTTAGAGAACTCTCCAGAAGAATCACTTATCTAAGAAATTCTCTTTCAACTTGAATGAGAATCAGCCTTCGAGGAAGGTCTTAGAAGTTAAGGGAGATAACATGTTTGCAACATTTAGGAGAGATACTTACCAAGGTAAATTTTAAAATTAATTCTAGATCATCAAATGCTAGAGAAAATAAATGAAGACAGCGACCTCTCAGGTAATGTTTTGGAGTCAAAAATAGAGGATGCAATCATTGAGTGATCCAATGAGCAGGATGATTGGAAAGAGCCATCACATCTCAGAACTATTAAGAAAAAGAAGACTCCTAATAAGAACTCTAAAAATCATAAAAGATACAAGTTTAGTGCTAAGATACAAGCTCAGCCAAAAGTGAGGAACGAAGTTAAAACTCCTGTGCATAAGACAAGAACATCGATTCATTTAAGTTTTGGGAATAATCCTGGAAAGACCCAGCAAGCTTATGAGCATACAACTCCTTATCTATCTCCTCATAAGGCAACTAGCCTGAAGACTGTTAGAGGAATTCAAGAGAGAAGGTTTCCTGAAAAGAGAGTCGAGAAGTTCAATCATCTCTTTGATAAAGGAATTCACAATACTGTGAGAGTAAGTAAAACCAGATATTCAATGGAGAACACTACTTCTGTGAGGCCACCTACGTACAAAATGAGCCCTAAAGGATCGAGGATCAACTCAAGAGATGCAAGAGCTGTGTTTAAGTCTCCAAGAACTCCAGCCAATTTCTCAGTTAAATAAAATATCTATTACTAGAGAAAGTAGTGTTGAAGAAGTCAAGCAATATGACATCAAAGCTAGTAAGAAATTGCTGTTTACCATATCTCATTATTTTTAGGTAAAGGAAGGATTATTAGAAGAATAGCAAGATCAGGGATTAGAAAGAACTCTAAAATCAGGGAAACACAAAGACTAGCAACTTCTAACTCCTTAAAGATCACTGGAGTAGGAGGAGACAGTAATAAATCAAAGGAGATTCCTCCATCATATGGTAAAATAGAGAATTCTTATCACAGGAAGGTGATTAAGACTATTATCGCAAAGGTAATTTTCAATACTTGATCCATAGATATGACTACCAAGAGGCAAGAAATGTAAATCAGAAAGGAAGAAAGCCATTGATATTATTAACAATGAAAGCCAAGCATATTTTGCCATTTTATTTGGTCGAAAAGTAAATTTTTAACAACCCTTTAGAAATTTATGAACAGTAATAATTTCAAAGGAGTCTACAAGCATATTTGTGGGACTCATCTACTTAAGATATACGGTGACCCTCTCTTACCACCAAAGATCTCTTGAAAAATGATAGAAGGTTTCTTCAAATTTGATGTTGTTTTGAACAAACTAATGCCCATTCCTACACAGACTAGGATAAGTGAGCAATTTCATGCCTTCTATCTCGACCTAAAGAAATGGACCTCCCTTCAGAAATCAGAAAGCATTGGTCAGAGAATTTATAAATTAAGAGAATAACTTGGAATGTTTCAATTATCTTCAGCTTATTTGGGGTTTTGGGGTTTTGGGGTTTTGGGGTTTTGGGG